ACACTGGCCAGGGCTAAAAAATTATTTTAAAGAATTGTGGTAAAATATACATAATAAAAAATTTACCATTTTAACCATTTTTAGGTGTACGGTTCAGTTTTAATACCATCACCAACATCCAACTCCAGAACTCTGTCTTCCCCAACTGAAACTCTATATCCATTAAACACTAAATCTCCATTCCACCATGCCCCTCAGCCTCTGGCAAGCACCACTGTATTTTTGTCTCTGAATTTGAGTATTCTTAGGACCCTCATATAAGTGGGATCAGACAGTACTTATTTGTCCTTTTGTGTCTGGCTTATATCACTTAGTATAATATCTTCAAAATTCATCTATGTTGTAGCCTGTGTCAAAATTTCCTTCATTTTTAACACTGAATAATACTTCATTTTATGTATATACCACATTTTATCTATTTATTAATTGGTGAACACTTAAGTTGCTTTCACCTTTTGGCTATTGTGAATAATGCTTCTATTAACATGGATGTACAAATATGTACTCTAGTCCTTGCTTTTACTTCTGTTGGATTTATACCTAGCAGTGGACTTTCTGATATATGGTAATTCTATGTTTAATTGTATTAGAACTGCCATACCATTTTCCACAGTGACTGTACTAGTTTACATTCCAGCAGTGCACAAGAGTTCAAATTTTTCCACATCCTAGCTAACAATCACTAGTTTTTGTTTTGATTTGCATTTCCCTAATGGTTAATGATATTGGACCTCTTAATGTGCTTATTGGTCAGTTGTATATCTTTTTTGGAGAAATGTCTGTTCAACTCCTTTGCCCATTTTTAAATTGGGTACTTGTTTTTTGTTGTTGTTGAGGTGTAGGATTCCTTTATATATTCTGGATATCAATCCCTTATGGGAGAGATTATTTACAGATATTTTCACCCATCCTTTGGGCTGCTGCTTCACTTTCTTGATGGTATGCTTTGAAACACAGAAGTTTTTAATTTTGATGAAGTTCAACTTAACCTATTTTTTTCTTTTACTGCCTGTGCTTTTGGTTTTAAAATCCAAGAAATTATTGCCAAATTCTGTGACATAAAGCTTTTCCCCTATGTTTTCTCCTAAGAGTTTTATAGTTTTGGGTCTTAAGTTTAGACATTTGATCCATTTTATGTTAATTTTTATTTGTGGTGCTAAGGTAAGCATCCAACTTAAATGCATGTGGATATCCAGTTTTTCTAACAGTATTTGTTGAAAAGACAGTCCTTTCCCCATTGAATGGTCTTGGCACAGTTGTTGAAAGTCATTTGATCATATATGTGAGGGTTTATTTCTGGGCTCTCGATTTTATTTCATTGGTTTATATGTCTGTCTTTATACCAGTGCCATATACTTACTATTATTTTTGAATTGAGAGAGTTACAAAGACTATTTATTGGAGTAGTAGAATTTTTTTTTTTTATCCTCACCCGAGGACATTTTTCCATCTTTGTTCAGATAGAGTAGGAGGAAGGGAGGGAGGGGGAGGGGGAGAGAGAGAGAAACATCGATGTGAAAGGGACACATCGAGTGGCTGCCTCCCACACGACCCCAAACAGGGCTGGATACTAATCACAACCGAGGTACGTGCCCTTGACCAGAATTGAACCCGTGACCCATTGGTCCATAGGCCGACACTCTAACTGCTGAGCCAAACTGGCCAGGGCAGTGTAGTAGAATTTTGCTTTTTGTTTGTTTGTTTGTTTGTTTCATAATGAGTGATAGTAATAAAATAGAAAAAAAACCTTGACCTCATAATATACACAAATGTTCATTTAGGATGAATCATGGACCTCAACAAAAGAACAAAACTTACAAAGATACTATTTTTTTACTTTGGGGCATGAAAACTTTTCTTAGGATAGAAAACTAATAATCAAAATAGAAAAATTAGATAATTTTTATTTCACTAAAACACTTTTGCTTGTCAAAACAGCATAAAGAAAATGGAAAAAATATTAGAGACTTAGAGAAATTGTTTTTTTCTATTTATCATCTGTCATCTGACAATGACTTGTATCTAGAATACATAAATAATTCCTACATATAAATAACAACCTAATAAAAAATTGGGCAGCGGACTTGAAAATATTTTTAGCAACGTCAAAAATAAAGATACATACAAATTGCTAGTAGGCTCATGGAAAGGCGCTAATATCATTAGTAATCAGGAAATGCAAATCAAAATCAAAGCTGAGCCCTGGCCGGTTTTGCTCAGTGGTTAGAGCGTCGGCCTGCGGTCCGGAGAGACCCGGGTTCGGTTCCTGCTAAGGGCATGTACCTCGGTTGCAGTTTATCCCCGGCCCTGGTTGGTCATGCGGGTGGCAGCCACTCGATGTGTCCCTTTCACGGCGATGTTTCTCTCTCTCTCCCTCTCTCTCTCTCTCCCTCCCTCCCACTCTATCTGAACAATAACAAAAAGGGAAAATGTCCTCAGGTGAGGATAAAAAAAAAAAAATCAAAGCTGAGTAGCACTTCAAACTGCTATAATAAAGATGAGAAAAGTCAACATCAAATATTGTTAAGCACATAGCAGTGTAAAATAGTACAACCGCTTTGGAGACCTTTAGCAGTTTCTTAAAGAGTTTATATGCAACATCCTCATGACCCATCCCACTCATAGGTATTAAGGAAAATGAAACTGGTGTGATTCAGTGGTTGAGCATCGACCCATGTACCAAGAGGTCACCAGTTTGATTCCTGATCAGGGCACATGCCCAGGTTGTGGGCCAAATACCCATTGAGAGGCATGCAGGAGGCGGCCAGTCGATGTTCTCTCTCATCGATGTTTTTATCTCTCACTTCCTCTCCCTCTCTCTCTAAAGTCAATAAATAAAAAAACATTTGTTTACAAAAGTAATTGTTCAAAAATATTTATAATGACCATATACTTATTTTTAAAGTGTGATTTGATGTTTTCAAAATAATCCTGTGGCAGGTTAGAATTGGTAGTTTTTTTTATATAGCAAAATCTCAATTAATTGTAGGCTCTTTGAGTCCATTCTATCTTATTACTGCTTTATTTTTATTGCCAACCTTAATACTTGACTGACTTGGCATATACTAGGTGTTTCACTTGAGAACCATCAGTTTGAAGCAAGAGGGAGTGTGAAAATAGAGCAGAAGACCATGAGTTAACCCTTGGGGGAGTAGTCATAGTTAACAGAGAACAAGCAGAGAAGACATGGTTGAATTCTGAAAACTAGAACTAGAACATGGTTGAAACCAAGGATTGAGAGATTGTTTGTTTTTGTAATTCCCCCTACCCCCCAAGAAAGAAATAGTACACAATTTCTGATGTAATAGCAGGATGAAAAATAAGTGGAAACATTGATGGTACTTGAAAGTACTTTGTCAGGAGTATACTTATTCTAGAAACCAGATTCCAGGTACCTAAGGTAGATATGGTTATATAAATCACCAGTTTAAGGAAAGAATTGTATAATAATATTAATAGCATGGGATTCAAGAGACAGTGGTGTTTTTCTTTTTTCTTTTTTTTTTTTTTATCCTCACCTGAGGACATTTTTCTATTTTTTGTTCAGGTAGAATGGGAGGGGGAGAGAGGAAGAGAGAGAGAAACATCGATGTGAAAAGGACACATTGAGTGGCTGCCACCCGCACGACCAACCAGGGCCGGGGATAAACTGCAACTGAGGTACATGCCCTTAGTGGGAACCGAACCTGGGTCTCTCGGGACCGCAGGCCGACGCTCTAACCGCTGAGCCAAACCGGCCAGGGCGACAGTGGTGTTTTAAAAAGACATGTAAATGAAGACAGAAGGAGGCAAGGAGGGAAAGATGCACACGAGAGCTGGGATTCAGGAAAATGCAGGATCCCTTGGATAGCAAGAAGGAATGGGATCAGAAGCAAAAAGGAAAGGTTTTGGCTTTTTAAAGGCAGTTACCTGTTTGAGAAGGAAAAAGGAGCACACCAGGAAGACAGACTCAGGTACAGGGACCCCAAGAAATATAGAAGCATGGTCATTAACCATCTAGTCCTCTGTCCACATGAAGATGAAAGGAATGAAGGGAACTCTAAATTAGGTTTACAGGAATAGTTCTTAACCTTTAGGAGAGGATTGTCAGGGTGTGTGGAAGGGCTTTTGTGTCGTTTGAAAATGTTCCACATGTGGTTATGGATTTGATAATACCCTTCTTGCTCCCTTTGAGAATTACTCATTTATATCAGCAGAGAATTAGGCATGGATAAAAGGATTTTTAAGAGTTTAATGAACTTTAGCTAGAATTTGTGGTGCTTTAGTCTGCATAGTAGCAATTATATGAGGGTGTTCATTTTTCTCCCTTCATTCACAAGGTGATTGTTTAATAACAAATGTTACTTTATTGATCTGTTTGATATACATGTGTGTTTTTCATCTACCTGAAACAGAAAACATTCAAAATTAACAATTGTACAAAAACCTTTGGGATGTGATGGTAATAGAATAATCCTAAATTTAAAATATAGTTAGATAAGATATATGTGTGTGTATAGATATATATAGATATATATGCAAAATAATTAAGTAGTAATGTTGCTTGGTGTCAGAATTCTGTATAAGCTTAGAATAAGGTAATTATACTATTAGAGTTCTATTTTTTAAACTGTAGACCCATGGTCCACTAATGCCTCATGAAATTAATGGCTTACGACCAGTGTTTTTATTTTTTAATAGACTAGAATACACTAGAAAATATTGGAGTGCACAGCATCCAGTAAGAAGTATTTGTGGGACTTTCTAATATATGTATGTATGTATCTGTGTACTGAGTTAGGTAGAAAATCTATTTCTTAGAGTAGATTGCAGTCAGAAGTGTTGGGAATCCACTATAGGTTGTTTTGATAAATGAGAGTAGACATTATGAATATCTTAAAGTCTCTTTCATCTCTTTGTAGAATTTATTCATTAAGTTTATTGACATCTCAACTAAACACATATGTATTTTGTGTTTGTATTTAAAGATATATATTGTGTGCATATTTTTTTCTTATTAGGTGCAATGGATGAGCTTCATAGTCTGGACCCAAGAAGGCAGGAATTACTGGAAGCTAGATTCACAGGAGTTGCCACTGGGAGCACTGGGAGCACTGGCAGCTGCAGTGTTGGAGCTAAAGTGAGTAAAATTAAAATCTTTATTTGACATTCTCTCCTTGTATTAATATAATGTAGAGAAAAAGATTCAGTGTTTATGAACCTGATTTCTAACATAGCATAATATGCTCTAGGGGCATTATGATATGATACAGCATTTTAGGTTTCAGGGGTACAAAGGAGTGTCTTTCTCCCATTACATAGTTTTTACCTTTCTTGTCCTCTGTTTCTTGCCCCTATCACACATGTTCCTATCTGTACATTAATCCACTGTTTCTAACAGCTGCATAAAGCTTAATGCTTTATCTGTTATGCTTTCTTTCCACTGATAGACATCAGGTTGTCTTCAACTCCCCACTACCTCACACTGTAGTGAATTTATTGTACTTGTCTCTAATGGACCTTTGTGAGTAGTTCTTTAGGATATATTCTCAAGAGCAGAATTGCCAGAACATACGGTATGGGTAGACTTAGGTGGAAAATATAGTACAAGACTGCTGCTATTCAGAACAGTTGTACAAAACCAGTCGGCACTTTCGGTAGAGTTGCATGACTATTTTTATATCCCCACATCTCAGAAACACCTGGCATCATCTAGATTCATCATTCTTGGTAGTCTTACAGATATAAAATAATATCTCATTGATTTCCTCACACCACCAGTTATTTTGAGCAAGACAGAATACGTTTTATTCTATTAAAAATAAAATTTGTTTTTATTTGGATGTCTAAGAAAGAATAAAAGTCCTGAAATAGCAACCTTTACAAATAGAACTGCTTGACAAAGAAGCTCGAAAACTAAAATTGGGTCCAGTGGATCCTGATAGTATTCTAAAAGTTAAATACTTCTTCCTCAGCCCTGGTCCACAAAGATACTCTACAGTTTCTTCTATTTTTTTATGGTTTTACTGGTCCTTCTAGGCCTCCCCTCTTACATAGAATTGATAGGGATCCAATTTTATTTTTCTCCATCTAGTGAACCAGTTTGCTCAATGATGCTTTTTAAATCATTTGTGTTTTTCCACTGTTTTGCAGTTCCACCTTTATCACATATTAAGTTGCCATGTATATACACAGATCTGTCTCTGAAATTTCCTTTATGTTCCAGTGGTCTGTCTGTATTCTAGTGCCAGTGTCACATTACAAACAAAACAAAACATATTTTGGTGTCATTTTATGTGGTAGAACAAATTTCTTCTTTAATCGTCTTTTGTAAAGTTGATTTAATTATTTATGGATCTTTATTTCTTCAGAAAATTTGAGCATCTCATTTGCTTTTTAGCATTTGGGGATTCTTCTTCCATATAGTTTATTGTATCTTTTTCCTTAAATGATTTAAATGGAATTTTTATCCTGAATGCACTGACTTTATAGATGAATTTGGGGAGTACTGAATCTTTGTAAGATTAAGGTGCCCCATTCAAGTACCTAAAATTTCTCTACATTTATTATTTCTTCTATGGAGTTCTTAGGGATTTTTGGCTAGTTTTTGTGAAAATTTTGGCTAATTCCTGGATACTTTAAAATTTTTGTGGCTGAAGTATTTATTATCATATTTTCTAGTTAGTTATTGCTGACCCAGGAGGCTTTTGATTTTTATAGATTGGTCTTGTTTTGTATGTAACAATCTTGCTGTTGGTCTCTCTCTTTTTCTTTATTCTCACCCAAGGACATTTTGCATTTATCTTCAGATAGAGCAGGAGGGGAAGAGAGAGAAACCTCGATGTGAGAGAGACACATTGAGTGGTTGCCACCCACACGACCCCAACTGGGGCCAGGGACAAACTGCAACCCAGGTACGTGCCCTTAGCGGGAACTGAACCCAGGACTCTCCGGTCCACAGACTGATGTTCTAACCGCTGAGCCAAGCCGGCCAGGGCATGGTATCTTTTCTTGGTTGTAATAGTTTGTTGATTCTGTTCTAAGTTTTTTTTTTTAAAAAAAATTATTAGCCCTGGCACATCGGCCTGCAGACCAGACAGTCCTGGGTTCAGTTTCTGCTAAGGGCATGTACCTCCCTTGCAGTTTGTCCCCGCCCCGGTTGAGGTTGTGTGGGTGGCAACCACTCGATGTGTCTCTCTCACATCAGTGTTTCTCTCTCTCCCTTCCTCCCTCTCTCCCTTCTGCTCTATCTGAAGATAAATACAAAAATGTCCTTGGGTGAGGATTAAAAAAAAAATTATCTTCCAAAAATGAGTTTTATTTCTTACACCTTAGTCTATTTATTTATCCCTTATAGTGTTCATCAACTTCAGTACTTTGTCTTGCTGAAAAGGAATTCATCTAATGTTTCTCCATTAAGTGTAACATTTGCTATAGGTTTTGTGTATATAACTATGTCTAAATTAAAGGAGAGCTTTTCTGTTCCTGGTTAGTGAAGAAGTTTGTTTAAAAATCATAAATATTGAGCTATAGGAAGATCTTTTTTTGTTCTTGGTTGAAAGACTCATAACATTTTTCTCCTTTGAATTATTTACTTGAATTATATTAATAGATTTTTTAAAAATGTTGAACCTGGGATAAACCCTACTAGGCCATGATACACTATACTATTTTTAAAATACATTTATTGGGTTTAATGCATTTAACCATTTTATTTAGGATGTTTGCATGTATGCTTACAGAAGAAATAGATATACAGACTCGAAGAGTTCAGTGTATTTCGACAAATGTGTACACTCGTAGTAATCCGCATCACATGCCTCTCAAGATATAAGACATTTTCATTATCCTACCTTATCTGTTTTATTAATCAGTATCACACTATGCCCCTAAAATGAACTGCTTCCCATTATTTTCCGTTTTTTCAACATTCTATGTGTAATAGGAAATGTACAGTGGAAGATGGGGAGGCATTTACTATAAAACTATCTTGGCCTGGGATTTGTTGGGAACGGAGATATCTTACTACCATTTTAATTTTTAAATGTTATTTATTTATTCATTTTATTATTTTTTAATTTTTATTTATTTATTTTGAATTAATTTATTTTTGTTACATATGTTTCTCCTTTTCCCCCCACTGATTCCCCCCTCCCCTCCTCCCTACCCTGTCCCCAGCTTTGTTGTCCATGGTCATTGTTAATGCATACATGGATATAAGTTCTGTGGTTTATCCCCCACCTCCCTCTCTTCTGGGGATTGTCAGTCTGTACCCCACTTCCACGTCTCTGGGACTACCCCATTCCTCAGACTGTTTTGTTCATTGAATTCCACAAATAAGTGAGATCATATGATACTTGTCTTAAAGTTACTAATCCATTTCATTGAAGTTTTTCAAACTTATTAGTGTATAGTTATAATACGTTTTAAAACCTCCTTTGTTATTTCCTTTCTGTTCATTTTTTAATATTCTTTTCATGTACAATCTTTTAAAAAAATTATGTTTTTATTTTTCAGAGAGATAGGAAAGGAGAGAGAGAGAGAGAAACATCGATCGGCCGCCTCCTGCACGTCTCCTACTGGGGATTGAGCCCGCAACTCAGCCATGTGCCCTGACCAGGAATCGAACCAGAACCTCTCAGTCAATGGGATGGTGCTCAGTCCACTGAGTCATACCAGCCGGGCTTTATGTAATTTTGACAGAGCTCTGACTAATCTAATGACTATTTCAAAGAAACAGATTTTGGTTTTAATCTGTGTCTCCATTTTTTTTAACCTATTGATTTTTGTCTTCATAGTTTACTTGTTACTTTGGGTTTGTTCTGTGGCTCTTCTTTCAGCTACTAAGCTGAATCAATCAGTTTATACAGAGATAACTTATAATAAATAGATTTTAAGTGTTGTTATGAGATCCGCCCATCGTTTCTATTAAGGTATAATTTACATGTAGTAAAATTAACCCTTTTTATTACATAATTCTGCTATAAGTTATGACAAATGTATACAATTGTGTAACCCTACCACAAGTTAGCATATAAAGTAATTCCCAAAGTATTCTCCATGTCATTTTGTAGTCAACCCCTCTAGGTTGCTCCAGGCAAACACTGATCTCTTTTCTGTTCTTGTAGCTTTGCCTTTGCAAAAATGTCATATAAATGGAGTAAGTACTGTAATATGCATTCTTTTTAGTCTGTCTTCTTTTAACCTAGTGTAATGCATTCACTTGAGATTTATTCATCTTGTATGTTATGAATAGTTTGTGACTTTTTATTGCTGAATAATATTTCATTGTACCACACTTCATTTTGTTACTTAGGGACCAAGCTAGGTTATGCTTGTTATGTTGTGGTCTTTTAGAATGCCAGTCAGCTAATGTAGAAGGAATGTAGAATCTGAAAATTAACATTTATATGCCCCAGTGTAATTATTGGTTAATGCAAAAATCATCAATGGATGCTAAAACCATTTGGCAAAATGTTATGGAGAACAGCTCTCAGAGTTTTACCTTGTAGATTAGTTATTAATTACAAAAGAGAAAATGTGCCTTTAAAATGGAGAGATTTCCTCCTACGTGAAGAACATTTGGGTTGTTTCCAATATTTTGAGAATTATAAATAAAGCTACTATAAACTTTGTGTATTCCTTCCTCTTTGGATTTGGAAGTTGTTTATGTGATGCAAATACCACACAAGACAAAATACAGAACATTTCCATTCCTCCAAAAAGTTTTCTTCTGCTCCTTTCCCACTTGCCAAACCCTTTCCCCAAACCCGTCTGATTTCTAGCACTAACAGATTAGTTTTGCCTATATTTTAATGCCATGTAAATGGAATCATGCAGTATAATCTTTTATAACTGGCTTCTTTCATGTAACATATTTTTGAGGTTTATACATGTTGTTGTGTTTAGTAGCTCATTTGTTGTTGTTGTATGGATATACCATAGTTTGTTTTCTGTTGTAGAGTGATATTTGGATGTTTTCCATTTTTGCCTGTTATGAATAATATTGTTACAAATATTCTTGTACAAGTCTTTTTGTGGATATATATTTTCATTTCTCTTGGGAAAATACTTAGGTGGTGAGAGTATGTTTTCACTTTGATTAGAAACTGACAGTTTTCCAAAGTGTTAGTATCATTT